ATCAGGACCAGAACCAAAGTAGACTCAACTCTACTCATTCAAAGTTTATTAAACACTTTCATTCAAACCTTTAAGCTTTATTTTTTTCTCATTTTTGCACATTTAGTAGAAATGTTATATTCCTGCAGGAGGTATCCCTGAGCTGTACCAAAACTGCAACAGCTAGCTGCTACTGCTCTCCTTTTCCCATGCAAATAGCTGGGATGTGAAACTAATGTCAATGTAAAGGGTTATCAGTACTGTATGTGTTAGGGATGACTGTCAGCTACTACCACACCAAACGTTASCTCAGTAACTGTGAAACTGGCTGACCAGGACTCACTTTGAGTTTGTTAGGATCAACCAGCTTAGCTCTGGCAGCCATCTTTTGTATTGTGTTGAGTTAATCAGCTGTGGCTGTCCATTGAATGACTTCTTTCTGAGAGTTTCATTAAAGTGGGTCCAGTGATTCAGGAGATATTTTGCTAACAGACAGCGTTCATGGCAGTGTGTGATGAGAAGGAATCTGGACGCCATCTTTCCTCAGAGGGTTTGTTCCTGGCTGAGCCTCACCTGGATGTGGAGCCTTCTGTAGATTCTGTCTGCAGCAGTGATTCTGTCACCTCAGAACCAGACAAAGGTTCTGGGTCAGGCTTTCGGATCAGAAAGAAGAGGAAGCAGCCGACTAAACTGATCACTGTGAGCGAGATGAACACCGTCCGGCGGTCTTTGTCTGCGATGGGAAACAAACATGAGTCAGATGATAAAAGAAGAAGTGGAGTGTGTCAGCACCAACAACACACCGTGCAGACAGAATCCTTTTCGAAGCAGCCGAGTCATACCTGTGATGTGCACGTGTCCGTGCCACGCACAGTAGATGTAGAGATTCCCAAAGAATAAACTGAGACAAAGAAAAGAATAACAACCAAAGTTTAGTCTCTCCTTTATCGGTTTCAACAGATACTTCTGTCTTTCTCCAAACAGTCTCTGCTCTCGGAGGACTTATAGTTTTTCTCTCAGAGGTCAAAGGTCAACGCCTCAGAGACTCTACCTGAGCTCTGAACCTTTACTTGTACAGGTGCAGGTGTTGGACACACGTTTACCTGAACTGCAGCAGAGACCAAAAGATGCCGCTGTTCCTGCCAATGGTGTTGTCAGTGGAGTTGATGGCGAGCACGTTTCCCTGAGCGGTCCAGAGAACTGAGGACCAGAGAGGAACACGTCAACAACAGGAAGTCCAGTCACACAGTACTGACTCCATACCTGCTGCTGCCACTCCCACCAGCACAGACGCTGTGTAGAAGCTCCAGGTGAGCGGGTGGATGAACATGGCAATGTACCCGCTGTAAAACAACAAAGCCAACCTCAGCAGAGTCCAGATAAAACGTCTTCAGGTGTGTCACTTAACCCAGGTTCCCACCAAACACGGTTTGAGCAGCAAAAATGAGCCCAAGGCCTCAAGTTGGACACGTGTGACCACAGCAGCAGACTGAAGAGGGAGGAGCATCTTGG